ATAGCAATTAAGTGGATTCTGTGGAGCGTTTTCGAATCTCAATTCCAAAGACAAACTTCCAGACGACTTGGGGTGAAAATTGACTTGATCTGCTCCGTGGTCATTGGTTAAATCAAAACCAAAAAGAGTGTAGCCTTTAATATAGTCGTTGTAAGACATATCCAAATCTTCTTTGCTGTTGAGTATTCCTACTCTTTTCAAATCTAAATATGGTGTTGTGGCTTGTTTGTTTGGAAAATCCATGAAATATTCTTCCACCACATCGCCATTTTTCATCAGTTTGATGTATTCTAATCGATGATGATGGAACTTGAATGGATTCTTGATGGAATTGCCGTCGTAAGAATCGTTCTCCACCAAACCCAAAATGAGACGTTTAGGCAAGACTTCGTTGATGAATAAATTATCCAAAACGTGAAAACGTCGACGACTGGGTATGCTGATGTCTTTGACGACTACTCGTTTGAGTGGATATTTGGCGTTGTTCGATTGTAGTTGTTCAGCAATTCGTGTGTAGGTTGATGGTGCCAGCGTAACAAAAGGTACTTCCAAATAGGCTTTGATCAATTCCACTTTGTATGCTTCGTTGTTTTCGTTCCACATCAAATAAAATTTTGGTTGTTGTCTTTCCAATTGGATGCGAACATCCACACCATCTATTAAATAACGATCTTGTAAACACAAATCTACATGTAGTCTTTTTCACCCATCTTTTTTCTTCTTTCTCCCAAACCATGGTTAACAACGGGTACGATGGTATCACCAGCACCAGTTTGAACGGCTTGTGTACTATCTAATTGGCCTGCCGTGTCTTTCTCCCACATGACTTGTTGATTGAGTTGGTTGTTTTTGGCCCCACGACCAAAACTCAGCAAATTTTCCAAGTAAGCTCTGTAGGGATAATTGGGTAAGGATGCAGTCACCAACATGTCGGAATCTTTTCCTAGGCGCATTTTCACATCTTTAAACAAAGAGTGAAAGAAATTGTTGACGGGTCCGACTTTTTTATTCGCACCGACATTCGTCCCATCCTCTTTGACTACTTTCAACTTCAGGTACAAACTAATGTTGGCCAAGTCGATGAAATCTGTACTTGAATTAGGAATCAAAAATTCCAAGGGACCATCATGGTTCAAATCGCTGGTCAGTGGATATTTGCGGACTTTGGTTACTTTGGTAACGGCTGTTTGAGTGTCAGGAACGGTAAACAGTTGTTGTAATTCATCAGGAGCACAGGGACAGGAATCATTACGCATCATTGAAGCCATGATCGAAGATATCTTTCTTTCTTCTCTTTCGTT